TAGGGGTACAAGAACCCCATACTCATTCACAAGGGGACGGGCATCTGGATGTCCCCTTTATGAAAGAGGGTACCCAGATGCAGATATGCCCCCCTGCCCACAGACCCCCCACAACCACTGGGCAGTAGTTGTGGGGAAGAGGCCCTTGTCCCCATTGGCATTGGCACAATGTGCTTTTCCAGGGGCCTCCCCCCTGGAAAAGCACCCTCCCAATGCCCCGATTAAGGGTCTGGTATGGGATTTTTTTTTCATTTTATGGGTGTTGGGGTTCCCTCTTAAGATTTCTACCAGACCTAAAGGGTCTGATATGAATTGCCGGGGAAACTGCACACTGTTTTTTTTTGTTTTTGTTTTTTTACATCAGGGTTGCCCCCTAACATTCCTATCAGACCTAAAAAATCTGGTATGAATTGCTGGGGGAACGCAAGCTGGGTTTTTTTTCTTATTTCTGTGGAGTGTCTAGAGGGGTTATTCACTAAGGAGCCGAAGTATCTAGCTGTAGCTTCGGCTGATCCTTCGGTTCACTTCGGCTGCTGAAGCCCTTTGGTTCAGTCGAACCGAAGGGCTGCTGGACGGGCTATTCTCAATAGCCCATACAGCAGGCGAACGTGAGCCGTACTCACAGCCGAAGCGGGGAGAACAGTTTGCCGAAGCAGACCATTTTCCCCTCAAATGACAAGTGGGCAGAGCCAGCCATGTCACGGCTCTTTTGGCTGAATTTTGGCGGAATTCGTAAAAATTCCCACCGACACACTCCAGAATCTTGTGGGAAGCAAAAAACAAAAGGTGTTACTACAAAGTGCGGGGGTCAATTCCATATGATTTTAACATGAGTTGTCTAACAAACTCACATAGGTATGATAATCAGAAGCCCACAAGCATTCGGCCATATAGTGTATATGGTCTTAATAAAAAGTATAATATACACCTTCTGCATTTTAACGTTGCATTGCAATTGTGGTGTCATAATTAAATGTATGCCACTTGGCTGTAAAAAAACTTTAGGAGTAGTATGAATTTTCTTAGCTTCTCAATGTGTATAATGATATAAACTATGAAGTATGCTATGGGGATTATTCACAAAGCTGCCGAAGGCAGCCGGGGGAATAACCGAGCCATAGTGAAGTGAGCCGAACAATGTTCATCTATTCACTACAGCTCAGTACGGCTGATTTCAGCTGCACTCTGGTCAGCCGAACATGCTCTGCGGTCAGCCGAAGTGCAGAAGGACTTCGACTCAGCCGATCCAACATCTGGATTGGCTGAGCCAAAGCTCTGGCAGCTAAGTCGCTGCTGTTCGGCCCTATTCCCCTTCACATTGAAAACATATTTTTTGAAATGTAAATAAAGATTACATTTAAAAAAGAAATAAAGATTTTAAAAAAAGAAAATAAAATACAATTGGGCAGAGCTAGCAGTGACAGCTAGCCCCGCCCAACTGTTTCCTATTGGTCGACACCTGCTATAGTCTTTTAGCAGGTCCCGGCCAATGAATAACAACTGGGTGGAGCCGGACATGACGTCACGGCCGGCTACACCGAGTTATTATTGTTAAATGACAGATCAGCATCCCCAGGTCATTTGGGGACACTGATCTGTCATTACAACTGGGCCGAGCCAGCCATGAGATCACAGCTGGCTCCACCCAGCTGTCATTTGCAGGGTGAAAGGCCGGCCTTCGGCTGTAGTGTATAGCCTGTAGAGCAGCCCTTCGGTTCAGTCCGAAGAGAGCTCGGCCGAAGAAAGCCAAAGGATCAGCCAAAGCTGCGGCTGGATCCTTTGGCTCCTCTGTGAATAACCCCCTATGACTTAGATTAAGTAGAACAGCCCAGTATATTTCATTGTTGAAAGAAGAGTATCTGTGATCCTTTTTGGATCAGATTCCAGCTTCTATTTTCCAGTCTAGGCAGGAACAGAAAACAATACACAACTGGTTAGATGATCTATGTAAAGTACCAGCATGAGGTTACCAGATTGTTGTAGTTTAAGGACCCAGTAATCCTAACTGAAATGAAAGGTATACACTGATTTCCTTCCCGACTTGAAAAGATTTTTAAAGAATGTTTTGAATTTTTATTAATAGGAACAAAGCAATAACAATGATTTTATGTATTAACAAAATCAACTTTTAAAATTAGCAACTTTAGTTTTTAATTGCTTTTCATGTTTTAATTTGTAAACTGACTTAATGAATGTAAGAAATCACAACATATATTTTATAAATAGTCTATAGAGGATTTGCTCAGTTCTACCCCTCTGTCTATTTTTTTCTTCTTATGCAAGTCAATTGAAGCATTTCAGATATTGTTATCCAAATAGAGAACTTTTTTCAATTATGTTTGAATTATGTCATTACTTTTTTTATAATTAAATTGTTCAAAAAGATTAACAAATATTATTTTTTGATATAAATCTAAATAAATATGCATGTTTTTTAACAGAACAAATTAATCTTCACAAATCTTCACAAGTAATTTGCCTTGTATTTTGGCATACTTTATTTGTAACAATATTATGTATAATTGTTAAAATATCTACTTGTATCTATTGTACATATACAGTATGTACTTAATCTTTTGTTTAACAGTATTTGGAAAATAAAAAAAAAACAAGGTACAGTTTTCAGATTTTTAACTATTTTAAAGGAGAACTATGAGGTGATTGCTTTTCACTCACCTCATAGTTCTAGCCAACCTGTGACAATGAGACTGTCACAGGTCGGCTCAGTAGATCGGGTGGTGAGCGAACACATACCGGCGTTCGCTCACCTCTCGATCCTGTCACAGCTCTCTGCCGTGACAGGGGAGGGGCTGGATTCCCCCGCTCCGATCGGACGGGGGAGGGGCGGGTACAGCTGGCTCTGCCTCTAGATAGGCAGAGCCAGCTGTCACTCACGCAGATGGGCGGATCCCGGCATAATTATTGGGATCCGCTTCAGCTGCGGCGTCTCAGTATACCGCAAGCAGTAGCTCGCGGTATACTGTGGCGTCTCAGTATACCGCGAGCTGTATACTGAGCTTAGGGTGATGTGAGGACGCTAGTTTGTGTCCCCTTGTTACTCTAAGGAGAACTATGGGGAAAAGCCTTAACCCCATAGTTCTCCTTTAAAGATGTTTCATATTTTTTAAATAATTTAAATAATTTTTCTAAAACAATATCAGGTATTTCATAGTGCTAATCACAAATACACTGTTTGTTCTAGCTCTGTGGCTCACATGCAAGATGGTGTGCCAGTGTATAATGTCAGAGGTCAACAGAATGGTTAAAACAAGTTCATTCAGCGGCAAATTATGCATCTATATTGAGTGAATAGAATGGGTTATGAATATGTATATCTGTAAATCTTGTTTTAATGAGATAAGTTATTCTTCAAGTAATTGACTTTAAGTGTAGCTCATAATCTCCACTGACTGCTATCGTCAAAAGTCAAGGTCGGAATAACAAACAAATTGATTAACAAATACCTCTCCATCCACACTGCCTGTATATTATACTGACTTTTATTACTTCAGTGCAGGGCGCTTTCTAAAAAATAACGAAACCAAAATAGAAGTCACCTTTATGTCACTAATTTTTCACAGATACAGGGAGAGTTTTTCAACTCTGTAAATAGTAACATATTTGTTCATACTGCAGTTCTACGCTATCAGTCATTTCAGACTAACAACATGAGGCTGTCTCAATGTCATCTAATGGAGTTGCTGGCTAGGAACTGCTCTGTGGTTCATATCAGGGCAGGGATCAGGGTCTGTGGTTCATATCAGGGCAGGGATCATGGTCTGTGGTTCATATCAGGGCAGGAATCAGGGTCTGTGGTTCATATCAGGGCAGGGATCAGGGTCTGTGGTTCATATCAGGGCAGGGATCAGGGTCTGTGGTTCATATCAGGGCAGGGATCAGGGTCTGTGGTTCATATCAGGGCAGGGTTCAGGGTCTGTGGTTCATATCAGGGCAGGGATCAGGGTTTAGCTATGGGGTAGTGGATAATTAATTGGAGTGGAGCTTTCCTTTTAGTAATGGTGGTAAAAAGGCAATATTTCACTTTTCGGCCGTGCTGAAGAACAGTTTTGGAAATAAATAAATAAATATGGTATCTGTGAAGGTTTTCTTTGTCTAGGTCACTGTGTAATAAGTAGTAGTTACATTCAATTATATTTGTTTTGTTACCCTGTTTGTTTCACTACTTGTTGGAGTGGCTCCCTCCTTTAAAAATGAGTGTTGGGAACTCACCCCATTGTAGAAACATGGAAAACTCAGTCTGCTTAATCCAACCAGAATCGTCTCACGAAATGTGCTAAGGCAGAATTCTATCGTCAAGGACATGATTAAAAGTGTAAACGTAATGAACATGGCATTTTCACAACTTTTACACCATGTTTAAATCTATTACACATCCAGTCATTTCTTGAAAAAATAGTATGTGCCTTTACACATTTCAAGATACCGTGATGGTAGGATTAGGGTGACTTAGTTTCCCATTTGGCTCTAAGTACTGGGTGATGTTCCCAACACTCGTTAGAACTGACAAAGCCACTCGTGAAATTATCCAAAATCAAACAAATTACTTTTGCATACAATTTAAAAAGCCTAACAGACCCTTAAGGGAAAACAAAATGGAAAAAAAGCAGGTTATAGTTTAACAAATTCTGTTTGAGTCTGTACAGAAGGTAATATGAGCTGGAAAAGAAGTCACATCTGGGTCCCTGACCCAATGGGACTACAGACCAGTGTATCCTTGGCAGGTAAGTTCTATCTTTTTGCTGAGAGTGCTTCAGAAGGTGGCTATAGGTGGGCGAATGTGAAAGGTTTTGCAAGGCTTTGAAATGTGACCACAGAACAAGTCACTGTCAACTGCACAGAATTTATTGGCTACAGCTCAGTGGGCTGAAGCTAAATGAACAAGTAGAATGTTAGTTTTCTGCTGATGAAGTAGGTTAACAATCAGTCATTGTCATGGTGATTAGTGAAAGATCTGCTTGGATGAGAGCAATGAATGTTACCTCGTATTCCTGTACTAGGATCTTGAAGTTCTAATGCCATGTAATGGAGCTGTTTCTTTGATGTAGGGCTGATAGGGATATTTACATAAGTTGCTGTCTCACTGCGAGGTCGGTCAGAAACCAGTGGCTCGGCTGGATAACCTGCTGCCCCTGCTGACCAGATGAAGCAGATATATTCTGATTAATTCATGCTCATGGCATTCTATTACAGCTCAGATCTGTGAATGTTAGCCAAGAGAAACACTGCAGCACAGGCTGCTGAAAAAAAATATATTAGCTTAAATATACCAATGTTTACCATGCCTAAGTAAAATATAAATCAGGTTATGCCCTCATGGTACCATATGAAATACATAATCTGTCATCAAATAAATGTCTTTTAATACCTACCAGCTACCTTTGACGAGCACCTAGGGTCATCATCTTACAGTGCAGGAAGTGGATGTTCCAGTTATTATTATTATTAACCTTGTTCACTTGGCTGTTTCCAGTTCATCTACGCTGCCTACAATAGAACTAATCTATTGTTTTATCTAATGTTTATATCAGTGCAAGATTCCACAGCTTGTATGAGTTCTTTTACTGTAAAAGTTTAACAAAACTATTTAAAGATTAAAGAAATTACCAGTGACAATATGATGTAGCCTTTTCCGGGCAATAAAAAAGAAAGGCACTCAAAATACAGATACACCTGTAATCATTTACCAAATCCCTGTACTATAACTACCCTCTTGACTATATATATATATACACACATATATACTGTATATACATACTCTGTGTATGTGTGAGTGGGGATAAAGTCCTCACCCATGGCACGTATAGAGGTGCTTGTACATACCTGCAGCAGCTTCCCAAACCTTCCTGTATGGATGCATCTTGGGCCGCTACAACAAGCAACACTACCCAAACAATTCTGGGCAGTGACGGAGCTTGCCGTTAAGCCCTGCACCCCGCACATTCTTACTTCTGCATTATTATGATGGGCAGCTTCGCTAACCAATAGGAATGTACAGGAGGTAGGGAGCGGCAGGCAAAACATCAATAAATGCCAAAGCTTTGCCTTTTAGAACAGCCTGAGATTCTGCCATGATAGGAAGGTTTTGGAGCTGTAGGTGCTAACAATTTATACCTACAGTGGGTTTTATTATTTTTCCCTGATCAAATCTTTTTTAATATTAGAAACCTTAACACATCTTTTTTTATCTTAAGTGGCCTCTTCAAATGAACATCTTAAGATCTGTCAACGGCTCATCAACTTGACTGGCTGGGAAATCGTTACTCTCTACTTAATCGCTTGAGCTGAGAAGAGAAGCAATTCACATAAATATTGTGGGAGTGTAATGAACCCTTATAGCTCTAGAAAAATGCCTGTTTATTTAGTTTTATTGCAGAAAGCATTTACCTACAGAACTGCTTCTACATATAAAAGCCAAACTCTAGCTTCTAAATAAAACATTTGTTTTAATCTCTAATCCTGGTTTAAAAAATGCAGCTTTTGCTGCAATACTCTGTCTTCTCCTGGGCAATGTCACCTGCAGAAAATCTGCTAAGTCAAATAGCTGCTGCCCCACTTCCAGGTTGAATGACCAGCAGCATTATTGAACTCGGATGTTAGTGCACCGGCCGTCATGGCTCAACCCCCATAGTCCTCTGCAGTTGTCACTCAGTCTGGCAGTGCTAGTGGTGCACACATGGCTTGGAAGCTTGGAAGAATGTTTTCAGGTAAGTAGAGGGGAAAAACCTGCATGTGCGGGAAGCAGGAGGGTCTTAGTTAATTTAATTTAGAATACTCATCAGAATACCTGAACAGTGGCTGCTTCCGATTGGCTGCAGTGACTGTTCATCTGAACATTTTCAGACTGGCTCCTTCGCCACAAGTTGATTTAGTCAAGTTTTGTTGAGGCAGCTGGACCACCCACACTAAGAATTTTGGTGGATTCACAGGAAATTCAGTGTATTGTGAGCTTTAACTAAAGATATGTATATGTCCCCCATACTTTACCCTCTTTGCCTGAGCCTGACACTTTAGCTGGAACTTAAGGGGTCAGAGGTCACTTGAAGTCTGATAGTGCTACCAATTGTAGGATCAAAGAGAAAGTAAAAGCATACACCAAGATGCCACCTAATGTAGCAATAACTAAAACTATTTAGCTTTCTATAACTTAACTTACTTAACAGCTCAGAGTTACTTTAGTATGATATCAATCTTAGGGGTGACATTTTTAGAAACTAAAAACTTCTAAATTTGGCAATTGGAAACAGAAAATGAAACTTACTTTTTTTTCCAAGCTTTTTACATTTTTTTTACATTATTTTTTTTTCTTAATTTATTTTTTCACTTTACTTTTAGGGGCTTTGGGGAAATATCAGGGGTCTAAAAAGACCCCTGAATAGAAAAAGAGAATCTCTTTTTCTGCAGCTCCTGTTATGAATGAACAGGAAGCCCCTATACAGAGTGCTCCTGTCCATTCATAAGCCAAGGAGATAGTATCAGTTACTATGTCTGCAATCATGAATGAACAGGATGCAGAGCACTTCCTATTCATTCAGAATTGGGGACACAGTAACTAAATACTTTGTTCTCAGTTATTTACAAACATCGGTGTGATCATAACTGATCACACCGATGTTTGAGCAGTACATGGAAGGACTAGCAAATATTTTAAATATACTGTATAACGTTCACATATATATTTCATTATATTCAAAGACATTTTGCAGATATGTTTCTGCAGCCAAAATTGCGGTGCATCTCCAATCAATGTACCTTCATTATTTAAAGATGCCCCAGTGCATGTTTTCTCTTTCTGTTTCATCCAGTGATGGTTGCACTGATAAATTCCTTTGATTTTGGACATTCCTTTATCTTCACTTCAAAACGTTGTTTTTGATCTCCCACACTGCATTCTCAGAAGAACGTGGACTGGTGGGGTCAAGAAAATGAAAGGGTGGGCACATAGTCTATTTGGTCATCTGATCTCTGCTGAAGGGTATGATCGGAGATTGGCTGAATTTCCCTGTCTGTAGAGTTCACATGACTAAGTGGCTAGGTATGTCTTCTAGGGATATGACTTTAGTAAAGTGAATTCTCACTTCTGTGCATTACTGCCATTTGCACATTATATTTGCTTTTTGCTCTTCCACTTGAATAAACCCATTTCCTTTTCCACCTTGCCTCTCCATCTACAACTACTACCTTAGCTATTCTGATAAGGGTACCTCAAGATGTTATATACAGCCTTAGTATAATCTGAGAGATTCCTTGCAGCACTGGAGCCCTCAGTTTGAATCTAGGACTCTATCTGCATGGAGTTTACATGTTCTCCCATGCATGGGTTTCCTATGGGTATTCCAGTTTCCTGCCACACTCCAAAGACATACTTCTAGATTAATTGGCTCCTGTCTAAATTAGCCCTAGCATGTGTGTGCATGTATGAATGTATGTGAGATAGGGACTTTCGATGGTAAGGCCCTTGAGGGCAGCGACTGGTATGAATGTGAATTGTTACATGAAATAAAGTCTGCAGATAAGCATACACAGAAAATGTTCCAGTAGATGTGTTTTTATATATGTAATCTGGAAACATCTTTAGGTTAAAATGTATTTTATAAGAGTCTCACTATGACATCTCAGCTATCTGAAGCTTGGCAAGGAATAGTTTTCTAATGATTTCAGGGTCAACATAATCAGCAAAGTTCTGGATAAGGATTATCGATGTATTATTCAGTGATTCTATACGGAAGAAAAGTCAAGCATCTATTCAAGCAAGTATTGTCTTACACTGCATTCAAATCAGAATGATTTCAGCTTGACTGCTTGTCAACAAACAGTCCAAGAGAATAAAAAAAGCACGATGCAGTCATAACACTCATTACAGAGAATGTAAAGTGTCTTTGCATATATCTTGTTTCTTTATTTCTCAAGGTTAAGACTAAAAAGCTTTCACTTTTTCTTTTTAAGCCAGCAAGTAGCACCACTTTTCATATGCTTGGCAGGCTGCTTTACTTGCTTTTATTGTAGAAAGTCTGCCTACAGTGCTCAGTAGCTCAAGTTATAATGTACAAACAAAATAGAATCAGTCGTAGCAGTGAATGCTTCTCTTCCCCTCCCTGCCTGTGCTCAGATGGAGCTCTATGGATACCCAATCACATATAGACAGTCTGTAGGCAAACTGTGTTCTCTCTTTAGAAAACCCCTAACGATCTGTGATTTATGTATTAAATAAAGATCCTGTATTACATATTTGTTTGTAAAACTAAGATTTTATATAAATAGCACACTATATTTCTGGCACACCAAAGGTTATTTTTTTCAAACTTGTGTGTTAAAACATGCCTGAACACCTTTTATACCTTTCCACCTTACCTATTCTTTAGCTGCTGATTATTACATTTCTCTTTGTTTACCATTAATATTTGATTTTTTATACCTTAACTTTTTTTAGTGGCACATTTTAAAAAAAGCCCACAATTTAAAAAAAAAATGATTTTGATTTTAAAATAGCTTTGCCACCCTTTTTAATAGAGATGTAGTTTTAGCGTTATTGTAAATGGAATGAATTATCTTGTAACACTGGGAAACTTTTGTTACACCATTTGTCTATAGATTGCATGGAAAATAAAACACATTTGCAAGACAATATTGCCAAGACAAAGCCTTGTTTTCACCGAAAAAGAAATATATGTATTGCTGTGTTATCTTATGTAATGATATAGTTATTGATGAATCAATAGGCCCATAGCTGAAATGTAAAATTGTTCTTGTCAATTCAGGGCAAAGGCTGAAGTGCTTAAACATTAGGGTTAAGGAAGTATGTTAATGCAAATGTATATGTTTAGTAGCAGGATTCTGGTTAAGATTTTATTTTAGGGTTATTTTAAGGGTTAGAGTTATAGTTAGGTTGAGGGTTACATTTTTGCAGTGTTCCTGTTCAGGGTTCATTTAAGGTTAAAGGTTAATTTTAGGGGTTAGGGTATGCTAAGAATTAGCATTCTTCTTAAAAAAAACAGGCTTTATTCTTCCTTAGACTTCCATAGGAGTAAGTAGATGGATCAATGCCTATACATCTACCAGAACCATAGAAGCCTATGGTGCCAAACTGTGCAGGTGCGAATGTTGGATCAAGATGCTTGTAGAGCGTTGTAATCAATGTCACAGCCTGGGAGCAAGATCTAGGTAAATATAGCTGTTGGGATTGGGGCTTCTATAAAGGTGGGTAGATGGATCGACTCCTATCTATCTACCAGCATCATAGAAGCCCATGGAGCCAAACTGCATAGGTGCGGACATTGAATCAAGAAGCTGGCAGAGGGATGTAATCATTGCCGCAGCCTAGGAGCAAAGATCTAGATAAATATGATAAATATTGCTATTGGGATTAGGAAGGGGGGGGGGTTGACCTACTTATGGGGCTGGGGCTGAGGGAAATTTTGTGGGTAACCCTTTAAATTGGAAATATACCCTCTTATGTTCTGGAATTGTAATGAAAAGATGTTGGTACCTTCAGCTGAAAGAGATCAGTGCTGCAATTATAACCTGACTGGTTATTTATCCAGTTATTGTTATGGATAACCAAGTTTTGGTTGCAGGAACTCTTCCTAATAAATTTACACCAGAGAAAAAGCTGTTTCCAAGTCTAAAAAAGTAATTTTTCAATCCTTTTCTATAGAGTAAAGGAGGGTTATAACACCGTCAGCTTTTTGTCATCTGTGTCCCAATGGGGCAGATTTCCCTTTACTTACTGTCCAATAGCCACAGCGGGAAATGAGGGAAATCCCTGGTGGTCTGTAGGGTCACCAGAACTAGTGTCCCTCTTTGAAGATTTCCCATCTATTCCTGTTCTGGTGATAACCCAAAATTTTGGATTTTCATTTACTTTCACTTTAAGTGAGAACAGTCACCAGTATAAATAGCTGAGGGATAGCTGACAGGTATTCTAATCCATCTACCCTCTATACTAACAAAAAAAAGTTTTGGATCAGTTGCACTTTAATTTAACTCCTGACCTAACATGAATGTAACCGTTAATGTTAACCCTTAACCTAAACCAGGGGTAGCCAAACTCCAGCCCTCCAGCTGTGGTGGAACTACAAATCCCATGAGGCATTGCAAGAGTCTCACAGCCACAGACATGATTCCCGGAGAGAGATGCATCATGGGATTTGTAGTTTCACCACAGCTGGAGGGCCGGAGTTTGGCTACCCCTGACCTAAACCAACCCCTAAACATATCCCTAACCCCATAAATATGATTCTAAAAGTTGACCTAATGACTGATTCTCTGCCCTTGCTACCCCCTAAAATATAAGCAATAGCTACAAAAATATTTGTTTGTTCAATAGCTACAATCCTGAAAAATGTACCTGCCTGCTGGGGTAGCTGCTTACCAGATGCTGTTTCTCCAACACTTACACTCCTACGAGAGGTCAGAGGTAGGGTTTTGTGTAAGGCAGAGGCACTTATTGGCTACCTCTATCTGAGCAGCCAATTAGGTATACTTATTATGTTTCATAAGCCAATCATCAGTATGACATGGATTGACTAAGGCCAATGTCCACACTTGTGATCCTATCGTTGGTAACAACTCGCCAGTAGCAGAATCGACATGCAAGGCAGGGCCGGGGAATTCTCATCTGTTCACATAGGTTGCCCCCTCACTGGCTCCATAAGCAATGTCGCTCTTTGGCTGATGGAAATACTGCAGGATGTCTGCCAGTGAAAGAAACAAAGGCTTGCTTACCCAGGCAACTAGCAAAGGAAACATGCAAGTAGGAAAGTATTTTCACTGTTCTACACAGGAATTTTGTAACTGCCGAGTTGTGGCTGGCGACAGGACCACAAGTGTGACACTGACCTCCATCTATGGCTGACTGAGGATAGAAGAAATCTTTGATTCAACGTAAAAAAAAGATCATTTTATTGTTCCTATTGGGAATTTGTTTTCCCACACAACCTCCTAATGTTTGATTTTTATAATGAGCTGTGGAGTAATGTACAGTTGCCTACAGCAACCAATCAACAATTATTGTTTGATTGGTTGCTGTGATTGACGAGGGGATACATCTGATTGGTCGCTATTTTTTTAATATAAACAAATATGAGTTAACATTTTCACAGCTTAAAGAGGAACTTTACCCATATCTTTGAAATGGCAAGAAATACACCTTTAGAAATGTTTAGTCATGACAATCTACAAACACATACTTCTAGATAATTGCCGGCTTTGTATTCTTTGCATTCCTTTTTTTCTTTTCCTCCCCATTCTTCTTACAGTGGCTATTTTACTAAGGGCAGATTAATATAGCTCCATTTACTTCCTGGAACTCTGGCACATGTGACTAGGACATGTGACCATGCACATCATCTCAGGGGAGGAAAATGTCTTTCCCTGACATCTTGTGGAATTACAGATGAGATTTCCCAGCAATACTCTGCTGATGCAACCCTCCCAGGATGCAATGTGTGGGCACATTACATCACTAATGCCCAAGAGGACCAGGAAGTTGAAAAACAGTAAATGTAAGTGAAAGAAAAATATGTTTGTTTAACTAATGAATGTAAGAAGATTAACTATCAGCATGCAGAGCTGAATGCTGATGTTATTTTTAGTGAAGGGGGTAAAGGTCCACTTTAATTTAAAAAAAAAACTGATAGAAGGTAACTAAAGGAAGATGATAACTTACAATCCTAAAATAAGGTAGGAAGTCAAGTTATGAAAATACTTACCAGAAAGAACTAACATAGGAGGGATTTTGTGTGCTTTAGAGGCTCCTGTTGATGTTGATGCAGAGGAGGCAGCTGCAACCAGTACATAAAATACAAACAGCAACAAATAAAATTAATTATTGTACACCGTAAATAGCGATGATTCAAAAGTCTATCTGAAAGTTAAGCTAACTTGACTGAGAGAGGGAGCTGATATTGACCACAAGACAGGAATTAAGCCATGAGATTTACTGGTTATTGTAGAAACTAATGTGATGACAGATATGGCTTATACCAGGGAATGTCTCATAATCCATAGTTCTTATCAATGTCTATCATAATGCTCAATTATTATTATTATGTTTCAAGAACAGCGGGGATGAAAAAGCCTTAGAGCTTATGGACTATTCAATCAATTTCCAGATCTGGAAAAGCAGGAAAGAATACATCATTCCTAACCCTTTCAGATAATGTTTAAATTAATACCACTAATAATGCCAGCAATAATTTTAAGAATTAGCAAAAGCGGCTAACAGCAGCAGCAGTAGAGATAGTTGCAAGACCAGGATTAGTATTAGTGACATAAGATGACCTGCAAGAAACCTCATAATAATAATAATAATAATAGTTAAAAAAAGATACTAATAATGATGATAATAATCATAATAATCATTATAGTATCACCATAGTAATAATAATAAAATAATAATAATAATAATAATAATAACAACAATAACAACAATTTAGGTGGGACAGCTGTACCTGGATTTACCTGAATTTAAAATATGCCATTTGGAGTCCATTGTTTAGTAAAAAGCATAAAAAATATATTTTTGGTACAAGATCCATACCCTTCATAAGTATATGGACTGTAATAACCGTAGGCACATAAAGCTTAACTCCAGGCAGATAGGAAAACACACCATAAAATGCAGTTTAGATTTATTTTAAAAAGTAATGAAATGAAACTAGTATAAATCCTTGAATCTGGTTTGGTAGGAAACTCCTGTAGAGCCCTACATGGCTGCACTCAGCCTGAGATCGGAAGGGGCAGCTCACTAAACCAATCAGATCTTTACTGCTTTGCCGAGTGCTGTCAGTCAACAGTTTAAGCACACTTACAAAAAAACGAGAATTGAGTGCTTCCCCAATATTGTCCAATCACTTGCTAGAGCAGGGGTGGGCAAATACAGCCTTCCAGCTGTGCATTAACTACGAATTCAAACATGTCTCTTTCTCTGGGAGTCATGCCTGTAACTGTCAGACTTGCAATGCCTCATGGGACTTGCAGTTCCACAACAGCTGGAGGGCTGGATGACTATGCTTTACTGTTTAACTGCAGAAGAGACAAACAAGGTCACCATCCTGTTTTGTATAGTAGGGGTGTCTGGATCATAAAACTGGCTGCAGAGAGTTAAAAATTTTCCTGGAGATCATCCTTAAGGTGGCTCTAAACTCAGGGGTTAAATCTTAAAAATGTATTCAGGTACCTTAACTACTAACTTAAATGTATCTTATTTGTGTATCACTCAGCTGTAGATCCTCAAATCATCTCTGAATTGGTGCTGACACTGTCCTTCCTTGTGGAGGGTGGCTACTTTTGTTCCCCATGGTCCCTGTGTGTGTTGTAAAGTAGTCACCGCTCCAAGCTCCCTCCTGTGATGGACTACAATCTCATGTTTAGTTTACCAAATTGTATTGAGATTGTAGTCCATCATGGGAGCGGGCTTTAGTGTCACTTTAATGGAAAGTACTCACCAATAGTTATTGCTAAAATCAAACCATTCACATCATGCTAGATCACCTACCTTGCAGAGGAGATGTGGTTGAAGCTCCCGGATGCAGGGCTGTAGCACCCTAAAACAAAACAAAAAATGAAAATGCATTGGAAGTGTGCTGCCCATTTAGGTGTAGCGGTGATGACACAAAGACAGCTTCTATATTATAATAAGGCACTAGCGTTTCACCTTTCTGGCATTATGGCTGTATCAGAAAAGTCCTGTGCCAAATTCATGAAAGTTGTCTTACCATTTGCCAAGTGTGCAACAATTTTAAGAAGTTCCTGTGCTTTTACGTTCTGGTGCTATGGCTGCAACAAATTCATTAACAAACACTACAGATGTGCATTCAGATTCGGACGAACTTGCTGAATCACAAAACCCTGTTGATTCAGCGGTTCGTCCGAATCCGAAAAAAACGAATTATTATATAGAATAGGTAAAAAAACGGCACTCGCAAGGGGTGTTTGTTTGCTGCTCTTATGCCTTTTTACAAATAAAGTACTGGATGACGGATCCCCTTGCAAGGGCTGTTTTTTTTACCTATTGCTCAGTGAAGGCTCCGGTGGAAGCTTTACCAGGCACCGAGGTTCAAGCAGCTGGATTGGAGATAAGAGGGTAGAGCTGCTCAATGTTCTAAACAGAATTATTATGTGCACGAATATATAAAAAATATATTAAGGCATATAGTAGTTAACTTTTATGAATGGAGCTTTCTAAAAATGAAATATATAGTCAACAGAACTTAAGGAAAATGCTCTGAGGAGGTAAAATAAGGACACGGTGATCACCCATTCGTTTGTCATTTTACACAGTACAATGAGCGGATTTGTTGATAAACAGCAAAACCATTTTTTTAAACTGGCAGAAAGGGAGAAAGAAGCCTTTGTTGGGCAAGGAAGAGGCAGGCAATGGTAGTGCAAATATCTCACAGCAGTTATCTTAAACCAGTAAACAGTGCCAGGATTTACTTCAATGATCAGGTTTTAAAAGCCTGCAGCATAATAGCAGGCAACTTTAAATTACTTGTGGGGTTTTTTTTACCTTCTTTAATTGCTCCTTGCAGTGCTACAAACCAAAATTAAAGGGTAATTTCAACAAAATATTGGCCTACGCAAAATGATTCTCTAATCATGACAACTGATGACAAATGTTTAGGGGTATAAATTGTGAAAACAGTAAAGCACTTAAAATAAATGCAGAGACCATAAGCAACCAAACAAAATTCACTTTGCAGAAATCAGACCATAATAAGAGGATTTCCAGTTGATGCCCTGTGTGCTGCACTCTGCACCATGTGGTGCTTTATCAAATTAACCCAAACACTATGCAAATTATGGATTTTGTATAGTTTCCATGGCTAGTGAAAGGACAGTTGGTTATACTTGTGGAGATTTAAAGTGGACCTTTACCCCCCCTTCACTAAAAATCACAGCAGCATGCAGCTTGCATGCTGATTTCAAATCACCTTACATTCATTAGTTAAACAAATGTGTTTTTCATTTACTTACAAATAGAGTTAATTTACTTCCTAGTCCAGTTCTGGCACAAATGGTGTAATGTCCCCAAGCATTGCATCCTGGGAAGGTTACATCAGCAGAGTATTGCTGGGAAATCTCATCTGTAATCTCATGACATCTCAGGGAAAGGCATTTTCCTCCCCTGAGATGATGTGCATGGTCACATGTCCTAGTCATATGTATAGTCACATGTGCCAGAGTTCCAGGAAGTAAAAGGAGAGCTAGTAATCTGCCCTTAGTTAATATGGCCACTGCCAGAAGACTGGGAAAGAAAAGAATACAAAGCCGGCAATGATCTAGAAGTATCTGTCTGTAGATTGCTCAATGATAAACTAACTTACAACACCCTCCTCATCCTCATCACATGACCTTGTTGAAAAATAGGAATCTCTTCCAGGACAGCATCCTGGAAGAATGAAGGCTCTGAAAGATTGAAAGATGCTCATTGGTCAGTTCATGTGGCTGTGCTGGCCAATGGTCATTTGTCATTTCAAGAATTATGTTGCTACACAGCCCCAGGGCTGTGTAGTGAGGCTTTTGGGACCAGCTGGCGTTTGGCATTGGGCAACTATCATATCTGCAGTGCAGTGGATATGGGGGGGTGTAGAAGGTGTTGTAGGTTGTTTGACCTAATTTTCTATGCAAAAGTGAAATATCCCTTTTAGTGGCAGTCTCTTTAAAATTATCAGTACAAACTTTAAAAAAAAATCTGTAACATGCAATAAGCTAGGCTTTTTACTAGATAACACATGCGTCATGAAATAAATTATAGATTATATTAGGGGGAGAATGATTGAATAATTAAACATCTTTGATTATCAATGAAGTCACTTTGTTCATAATTATCTAAAAAAAAAGGGAATTGCACGCATAATTTAATTTACATTCTGCAGCTGACAACAAGCTGATCTGTAATTAATTATTGCTGACTTTTCTATTGTCCTCTGCTGTCTACAAAAGTATATGTTTAAGATGTTTGTAACCTATTTGCAGGGAAATTCAGCTGACTTGTTTCTGGTGAGTGTAGAAAGCAGGGTCCCCTCCTATGTTTACTGAAATCCGTTGGTTCAGATGGAAATAGGCAAAGTCCAGTCATTCTCAAAATTATTCTTTCTCTCTTCCGACTACAGTAAACCATAATCGGACTGGTTGCTTGGTTATTTCACATTATAATTCCTCTCTTAACAAGTTTATTGGATGAACCGTAGTCTCCTACAAAGTACAAGGTACTATGTGTTCTTGTGTGGTAATGGAGATAGAAAGTGAGGAAAATTCTAAACCATGGAGGTTGTAACACTTCCCCACTCAACTAAGTCCTAATATAATGGCATTGACCCTTGCAGTACCTCTTTTCCTAACCTCCTATGTTTCAGCTTTCCTCTAATATTCTGCATAATGCAGTCATAGAGTTATTACCGCTTTGCACAGCAGTGTCACTCAATGCTTCAACAGAATTTTTGATGAAAATTCCATGAGATCCAGAGAGATTATTATCTCAGCTTGTTTTAAATGTGCAAATCGGCGTCATTAAATTATTGAAAAGAGCCCACAAAGAGCACAAATGACCTCTTCATGGTGTAATGAAGACAAGCACTCCAGGGCCTTGATGTTGAGTAATACATTCATCTGAACTCTAATATGTATGTGGGGCACCATTTACTCTTTAAAGAGAAAAAAAAAAGGAATCTGTCCTTATACTGAAGCTGAGTCTTACTGTATATCCTATAGCCATCAAAACATCACAATTCCGCTCTATATCCTCTCCAGGGATGTTTCATCTAGTAATAGGGCCTATTACAGGAGACACGCACTACTGAAACATAATGGTTTATGTATGCGGCTTGAAGCTTATAAGCAAGTCTGGTAAGGCTTGGTCTTTAGTGTTCAATTACATTTATGGCTTTGGAGGAGCCCAGAGCATAGAGAGGATTTCAAATCACAAATGAGTCATCCAATCAATGAAAATTAATTCTCAAATTAGGGAATAGCAGATAGAAGCATGTGTGGGGGTGATGATATTTTGCATTCTTTTTACTAGGACTGAGTATGTCTTGTTATGATAGATTTTTAGCACCTTAAATGCAGCCAGAAAACTGAGACTTTGCAAGTTTCTGGCAGCAAAAGGTATTGTATAGGTATTCTTTAAACCCATCCAGCTGTCTTCTCATGCCAACGCTGTGATTTGCTTTTAAAAGGAAGAGTCAGTGAAGGTAATTTATCAAAACTGGAGTAGAAGAAATCTGGAGCAGCTGTGCATGGCAACCAATCAGCTTCTTTCTTTCATTTCCAAATCTTAACTGAACAAACTGAAGAGAGAAGCTGATTGGTTGCCCTGGGCAACTGCTCCAGATTCTGTATGCTCCAGCTTTGATAAATTCCCCCCCATTGTCTCCTGCAGAGACCACTGAAGTTGTTGGACAGTCAGTGTCTCTACCTCTATGAGCCCATGGTACCTCATCCCTTCCAAGCTGTTCATGTACCCCCTTTAGCCCTTCTTCCCATTCCCTCCAACCTGTGCCTCCACAATTTGTTAGTGGTGTTCCACCAATCTCCAGCTTAATTTTTCTCTATGTTTTAGCCAACCTAATACCTAATGTCCTGCCAGACTCTTACCCCTTGTCTACATGTTCAGAGAACAGGCATTATTTGCTATTTTTTAAAGAGTAACTCCACTTTTGTTGTAATAAAAATTGCATAACATATAAAATTGTAACTCAAGCCATTTTGTAATTTAATGCCTTTCCATTACAGGCATGATATTCCACACCTGCTCAAAATGTAAATGTTCTTTTCTTCTAGACACTAAAACTGAGCATGCAGTAAACTCTGCTAAAAGGCTTGGAAGGTATGGAAAAGAGTGTAGTTCTTTATTTTAACAAAAGTGGAATTACACTTACAACTCCTGATGAGACAACAACAAGCACCATAGATAGCTGCAATGTCTGGCAGTTAATAGTAAAGGTAGACATGAGTAGCAATTTGACAGTAATTGTGTGTTCTTGCCAAGTAACAGCCAGTACTCCCTTGAGTGTGTGAGCATATAATAATATATAACAGTTTACCTTTAGTCCTCCGCATACCGGGCAAGCTGCAAAAAATGCCCTTGTAACACCAGGATGAGGGCTACAGATTTCACAAGTGTTACTTGTGCCTGTAGCAGCCAAGTCACTTCCTTTGGGTTTAGTTCCCTGTGGCTGTGCTTTTGTAGCTGTCCACTTTGGAACCAAATCCACATAGGTTTCATCGCCTGAGTCTTTGCTTTCCTGCAGTAAAGATGAGGCTCTGGCCTCTCCATGGGGTACCAATAGCTTAGCATCACTAATGCTTTGAGTTCCTTGTGCCTGGTCCTTGGATAAAGTGGAATCTGAACTCTTGTGTTGAGTTTCTCGAGCAGCTGCCTGTAATACACTTCGGGGTGTGTCGTAGAGATGTCTGACCGAGGCCGGAATCTGATATTCAGACCCTCTCTGTGGATCAGCATGCTGACACGTGCATAGATTTTGATCTGTAGCCATGGTTAAGGGTAAGCTAAGCAACGACCCAAACTCTTCACCATGGCAAATGTCCAGACTCTCAGCATAGGAGGAAAAGCTCCCTGAGTAAGAAGAGTGACTGCCCGTAGCTATGCCACTGTCGGAAGAGCTTTGACGTCCAATTTCCTGTAAATGTCTAGATGCAGCAGGCTTAGGAGGTGGCTTGGAGGCCCGAAAGGCTTCAGCATAGGATTTATCTTCTCCCAGGTGGATGCCCTTTGCTGCTGCCATCCCATGACTCTCAGCAGATGTGCTAGCTGAAGAAGGCTCTGCCCATATGGTCAGTCTGCTCCCTGCACTGGCATCCGAATGGCTGGTGTCTGAGGAAGAGCTGGATATACTTCTATCGTCTCCTGAAACAAAACATGTACATATGTCTTTAAAGCAGAAGTTAAAGCACCCAAATAGAGACATATGTTATTTCAGTAGAGAAGCCTTGATTTTATCAAATTAAACTATAAACATAGTATTAGAACATCATCTAACTCAGCTCACTATCGTATTTCAAAGGTTGCATCGTAAGAGAAGAAATTGCTGCACATTCAGATTTTGTTTAAATGTGATGTAATCACATGACACTGAGATTCAGAATGCAAGATAAAGGGAGGTATCCGTCATCCTCTAAGGACAGGTGGAGAGGAAGATACATCCGCCACCAGTGCACACTCCAATCCATGGTGGCACCTCTTTATTATGGTGCCATCACTACCGTCTATAGGAACCGATACCTAGATTGAGACTGAGCTTTAGGGGTCTATTTATTAACATTTCCCAGGGCCCTTTGCCCTGCACATATCTGTAAACATTTATTCTGTGCAAAAAAATTACAAAAACTAATGTCCTTTAATATATTTTTATGTCGTTGTAATGTAATACTGCATTATGGCCACTAGATGGAGCTGATGAACATAGGCAACAAGTATTTATTTCCGGTGATCCTCCGCTCCGTCTAGTGGCCATATAGCAATACTACATCACAATACATTCAACTTGACAAGAAAGTATACTAAGAACATTAATTTATTTTCATTCACACAAAACGAACGTTACAAATATTCACAGGGCAAAAAGTCACGACAAAGTTTATGAATAGCCTCTTAGTGTTTGATTTATTGAGAGCAATTAAAAGGTAAGGCACCCAGTTTAGGTTTGCTATGGATGGAAAAAAGTTTCCCTTGTCTGATTTAGCTGGTTTGTATGAAAGTGTCACATATATATAATACTTAGACCAGGTTCACATCTATCCATGTCCAATTTTGTATGTTCCTTTACTGTGCGTTGTAGAATACTTGCAAGCATTTTCATTATGTGCTGCAGTGCATTTTTATACCTCATATGGTTTATGGCTTGGCTAATGAGGATTGTTTTCCTGCAGTGACATCATTGCTGTGGACTTTGGGAGGACCTATGTCCTAGAATTTTGTCTTGTGAAATTAAAGCCAATCACAAGCCTCAGAGCATCACAGGTTGCTAAAAGCTTATAGCAACCTGGGACACTATGGTCACCCCTCTGCCACCGCCCCCACACACACACCTGCCACCCTCCCAATGAGATGGCGCCTGAGGGACTGCCTCAGGCAGTCTCATTTTAGGGATAGCCCTGATCGTGATCATGGAGACTCAAAATCACATTCAATACCCATAATACTCATTGCTGCACGCCTGGAAACACTGCTGCGAATGTTTGAAAAGTGTGCTAACAGGAACATTCATTTCTTTTCTGTAGCAACCAACCAACATCCAACTGTCATCTCTGTCTTTTAGATTGTAAGCTCTTGTGAGTAGGGTCCTCCTTAACCTTCTGTATTCAATTGAATTGTAACTGTACGTCCCGCTTTATATTGTAAAGTTCTGCTCAAACTGATGGTACTAAATAAATCCTGTATAAAAATAATAGTAATTTCAGCATTGCAGAAAAGGGATGCAATCGCAAAGCTTCATTTGTATTCCTGAACATAAAGATCAACATATAGAATAGAATAAAAAAGATATACAACACAATTACAATTTCTTTATGAAACAAACATAATACAGGTCACAATCCTATGCTAGAGTACAATGGCCAATCTGTACAAGGAAATGGAAACACATAAATGAGATAATGTAGGAATGATACCATGAACTGAATATACATGAAAAGCTTCTGCTTGCTATTCAAATGGTAATTTATGTAGGTAGAGAGTGCCACAGCTTGGCAATAGAGAGCTTCCCCTGTACAATATACAGTATATATATATTTTTTATATATATAACACAGGGTCGTCCCTACGCTATATGGGGGGGGGGAGTGTGCGTCCTGCCTAGCTCCTGGCAACCAGGGACATCACTGGTTTCCAGCAGCTAGGCAGGATGCCGGCCAGAGCATATTAAAGTATGTTAGCTGCAATTGTAGTACCTAAAGAATTTGCGTATGTACTTCTTAACTTTGTTTATAATGCTTTCTTGTACAGAACCACAGCATAGGATGACAGTTTATAAAAAATCAATATTAACATTATGACAATTTTTCACCAAAACACATCAGTATGGCTACAACACTACAAAGTCCACGAGTGGACCTTGTAAGAATATTGTTAAGGGACCTTTTGAGAGCAGAAGTGTGAGAGTTGCCATTGCTTCATTATTTTAGAGGGTCAGGATGTCACCATTATCTTGCTTCTCTATGTGGTGGAACACTGACCTGGAACTAGCATACAACCAGTAATGTGTCAGGACACCTTATATCAGGGGTAGGGGAACTCTGGCCCCCCAGCTGTGGTGAAACTACAAATTCCATCATGTTTGTGCCTCCTGAGCTGGAACAAGCATACAACCAGTATTTTGTCAGGACACCCCATATCAGGGGTAGACTAACTCTGGCCCTCCAGCTGTGTTGAAACTACAAATCCCATTATGTATTTGCCTCTGAGAGTCATAGCTGTAGCCAGGCAGCCTGAGGCTGAAGGTCATGTGCCACCCCTTTTCCAGCCAGAGCATCCCAGGTTGCTCCTAGCGCTGGCCGGTGCCCTGCCCAGCACCAGGCAACCAGTGACGTCAGTGAGCAGGGCAGAACACCGTCACCCCCTTGGTAACGTGCAACTTTCCCCCCATACCGTGCATTATTAAAGCACACCTTA